CGCCAAGGGCGTAGAGCGGGATGGTGAATGGCAAGCGCCGGGGAGAGGGGATCTGACTAGAGCGACGGCGCTCTTTCCGGCCCGCCATCTTAAAGGCGGGCACTTGTGCTCGCCTATTAATGGCAGGGTTATCCACACCCCGGAAGTGCCGCACGCTAAAGGCTCCTCCTGGTTCTGTCCTCTGCTCCCGAATGCAACTCTACCCTTTGGACCCTTCGTTCCACTTTACCCGTTTTCCACTTACATTCATAAATTCCTGCTTATGTAGTTTAGCGACCCCCGCTCTCCTCCCCCCCTGAAAAATTTATTCTGTAAATGCAATAGCTCTCGGTTGGAGTCGGGCGGTGTCTCAATCAAATAAATTAAATTAAATTATTACAATTCACCAATGGCCTGATCTCCAGCAGTGAAATGCTTGGAATTAAGGCAGGCTTTTACGATGCAGAAGCATTAAGAAGAGTGATTTGGCATTTCAAAGAAGGAGCGAGAGAAAAACAATAAGTACATACTATTAGGAAATTTAAGGGCGGGGACTGTAAGAATTTCACTTAATAGTATAACAGAACTGCTTTAAAGAAAATGGCCAAGGGTATTTTTTGGCAACACCCAATAATTAATTTCTCACCTAACATGGAACAGAGGAAGAATCTTGATTCTAGTAATATGAGCCTTATCATACAGCAAAAACCTGAAGCTTCACCCACTTATTCTCCATTTATTTATTCGCCATTTATTTGGTTCATGGGGTCACGACGAGTCGGACACGACTTAACAACTGAACAACAACAAAATAGTTCTGGATGAACAGACATTCCTCTGTTTGCTGACAAGATCTGGCTAAACTTGTGGAAGGAAAAGCTTCAACAAAGTGATGTCAGTGGCTCTTCTATGCAACCTGGCATGCCATTTATTTTGCTCAATAATTGCCTATTCCCTACTTGGATTTCAGCCACCTTTAAAAGGTTTCATCTAAAAGCGGAAGAAATCACAGCCATGACTGGATTTCATAAATTTAAATACGGAGCCGTCTTCCCAAGTATCAACTGATGTGGTGGCTAATCTCTGGAGGTGTTGGATTACAACTCCTATCATCCTCTGAGGAGGTCAGCGCCCCGACCTTGTCCTTTTTTAAAGTGCAGCAAAACCAAAGCATTCTGCAGCACCTTTAACACTTATAATTGTGGCGTAAAATATTGTGGGGCTGAAGAAATGAAACCTAGCCAGAATTTCACTGCACTTTAAAAAAGGACAAGAGACAAATATAGTGAAGGAAGATGGGAGGGAGGGAGAAAGAAAAGGAAAGGAAAGGAG